AAAGATGAGATGAATACGTAAATAACTTATTGACTCATCTGGATTGTGACTGACTATGCCAGGTGAAGAACAATGTTAAGTTATGAACTATAATGCTAAACTTGATTATCAATTTTTCAAATTTTGCTCTCTACTTGATTATTATAAAGAATATGGTCTTCCTCCTCAATTTTAATATCTGTTAAAATTTTAGTAAACGAGTCATTGTCTTCTACTTCGAAGTTTGAAAAATCTATTTAGAACCAATAATCCAAATCTCCTAATGAAACACAACAATTACTTTTTCGAATTTCTTAGAAAAAAAAACATTCGAAAAGGAAAAATAAAATAAAAAAGGTAAGAAAAAAATATTATATAATAAAAAAAATTCTAGTAATTATAATTGCAATTTCATAAAAATTAGAGGGCTTAAATTATATTTGGATAACTTGATTTAAATTATATTTGGATAAAACTAAAAAAAATAAAATTGGTTGGGTGTTTTCTCAAATGGTAAAAAAAATATTAATGATTAAATATTTTTATAAAAGATATAATATATTTTAATTTTTTTATATCATCTTAATTACGTTAATTTTATTATATTTTTATCTTATGTTAATAATTATCCAATTTTTACTTTCTACTATATTTTATATTTATAATTTTTATTAAAAATATATTTTATATTTATAATTTTATTGTAATTAATGATAATTATTTTAGTAATTTTTATTATTTTTATTTATTTTTTATAAAAAATATTATACTAATAAATTTATTATATTATAAAAATATATTTTTATTTAATCCGATTAGACCGGTTTAATATTTGAAATCTGATGATTTCATTAAACGGTCCAGTTTTAAAAATATTGAGAAAAATGTTAAATAGATAAAAATATTAAAACGATCCTATTTATTAAAAAATTAAGTATATTTAGATAAAAATAAGTTTATAAAAATAGGAGATGTGAAGAGAAAAAGAAAAGAAAAGAAATAAATATTTTTTTCAAAAACTAATATTAGATAGTATAGAAATTAATTTATAAAAATAATAAAGATTAAGATAATTAATCTTTTTCATATTTTATGTGCACGTCTTATAGTTTTTTTTTTCATATAATAAATTCTGTAATAATATATATAATAAATAGAAAATTTTAAAATATAATAAATTGTGGGATGGGACTTAAACTAGATCAGATATTTTTGGTAGTTTCAATAGAAAAAGAGTTTTAATAAGGTCATTCACCTTAAGTTTAAACATTTACACACAATAAATAATTAAGTATTATTAACCTTTTTTTAACCTATAATATTTTTTTATACTATTTACAATTATTTTTGAAACAAAGACAAAAAAATTGACATGGTATACAAAGAATAAAGAAAGTTAAAGAGAAGAAAAAATTATATATATTAATATATTAACATATAAAACGTTCATACACATATGAAAAGATGAGATAAAACCATAAACAACTATTCAGACTTATTGGATTGACTTGAATCATAATTGATTGAGTCGAGATAAGAACTTGACGAATAATATCAAGTTAAGAATGATATTGCTAAATTTGATTATTAAGTTTTCAAATTTTTCACTCTACTTAATTATTTTAAATGCTCTAAGAAGTGTTGTCTTCTTACATAATTTGTATATTTGTTAAAATTTTCGTAAATAAGTCCTTGTATTCTCCTTCAAAGTTTGAAAAAACCATTTGGAACTGATAATCCAAATCTCAATCTAAAAAGTTACAATATGTCAAGTTGTCTACCCTGTCAAGAGTAGGATCTAATTTAGAAATGTCTTGTTGAAGGTTTCTAGTAGATGAGAAATATTGATGTCTATTGTCCTCCTATATGCCTTTTTCTATATCCTCATTAGAAGACTTGCTTGAATCTTCCATCTTATTTGTTGAGTCATTCTTTGTCTTAGTATGATGAATGTCAAGGTTATTTTCTTTATAAAATGTTTGTTTTCCTAGGCCAATCATAACTATTTTGGATGAATTTACATTGTAATTAGGACCATTACCTCCTCCTTATTACATGTTGCTATAGGAGAAATCTCCCTAGAGGAGAAACATGTGTATCATTGCAGAGAGAATGAGTTATGAGTGTTAGTAAAATGTGAATGTCTAAACACACCCAAGAGAGGGAGGGTGAATTGAGTTTTCAAATCCTTTTCAAATGTAATCAATTATTTAATTTTTTTTTTCTGATAATCAAATTTAAAAGAACTAGAACAGTATTAAAATCACAAGAATATCAAGATAAAGAAAAGAACACACAGAAGTTTATATTGGTTCGAGTTTTTTAAATCTATATTCAGTCTAACCAAACAACTTTAGCTTGGATTTTTCTTTAAAACTTGTTTAGTAATCAGATTACAACCTAATGTGAAAATCTTGACTATAACAACCTTTAATCAAGATCTAAACACAAATCATAATACTTGAAAATATTTTTCCTCACAATTTTCAAACTAATTTGATGTAGTTCACCTCATATACATAAAAATATAATAAAAATTCACAAAAAGAAAAATAAGAACGGTTCCACCTTAGACTTTTGGAACACTGCATCCTATAGTTAAATAACATCTTCTTTGAGTTTGATTTTCTTCAAAACGTTGTTCAGAATCACACACGTTTTCTTGATGCCCACAACGTTCTTTTCTAATGCTCTAATCATTTCTAAAATATGTGTTTAATTGAATAAAATTTAATCATTTTATAGAGAAAAAATATGTTATAACTGATTCAGACAATCGATTAGCAGAATATCTAATCGATTATTTGGATGTAGTGACAGATCGAAAATAAGTCATATAATCGATTAGATACCAGCATAATCGATTATTAGCGCATTATGTCAAAACAAATATTTAGTTACGTAATCGATTATTAGCACATATTATGAAAACATGAATTTAAGTCATATAATCGATTAAGTACTTATCTAATCAATTAATACAGATTTAGCCTTAATATAATTGATTATTGTTACCATTTTACCTTTTTATTTTAACAAAGATTTGATCATTTGGCTTTACACAAACTACTCACACAACAACCTAGCTATCTTATAAGGATATCATCAAAAAGTGATTTTTTAATCAATCTTCCTTCTTCATTAATCTCGAAATCAAATTTGTTGAAATTTGTGATTCCATGAGTCCACAATTTTCAACTAATGGCTAAGTTGGTGTTAAAATTTGTGATTCTTTGATTCCACAACATTCACCTAATGCTTAAGTAGTTGCATGAGTTGTTGTAGAAGAAGATCCAATCTTTATTATGTTGTTAAGAGATACTGTGAACATGGTTCTTAAACCTAAAAATGATAATAAAGTGAAAATATATTTCATGATATAATAAAAATTTAATTTATACAGAAAAATAAAGAAGGACATATTTGACTTGATTTGTCCTATCATGTGGTCTACCACATGGTTTCTTTGCAATTATCGACTCATCTAGGACTTGAATATCTTTTCTCTTCTTGTTAAGTACTCTCACGATAGGTGATGAGAAATTTAGAGTAGTGTTTTTGGGTTCAGGTACCATCGATAGTATATTTTGCATAGGAAAGACAATACTGATAGACACACCTGACAAAGAAGAGCAAAATAAATAAATTCACATGTTAAAGATGCAAAATGGTGGGAATCAATGTGACTTAAAAGCTTTCATATGTGGAACAGTTTGTTATAAGCTCTCATACTAGGAACAACTTTATTGTAAGCTTTCATACAAGGAAAAGTTTGATTATAAACTTCTATACAAGAAATAGTTTGATTGTAAGCTTTCATGTGTAAAATAGTCGTATAATTTGTGATTTTAGTTGCCATCGTGTTAAATGAGGGTGGTCTCACATTGTAAGTGTGAATTGTTTTTTTGCATAATTTTTCATCCTATTTGTATTCTATTTTTCTCTTGTATCATCGTCCACTTTTCTTGATCCAACAATGTCTTCTGCCTTTTCAAAAGTATGTATTCATCCAATATCTTCCTCAAACTCAACAAATTCTTAGAGGTCAAGGAAACAAAAATTAATGAGACAAGTAAAGAGAGAATGATAAGTCATTTGTGAAAATTTAAGCATGTGATGATCATTAACTGTTTCACTACAAGAAAAGAAAATGCTAAATTATGAACGATATCATATAATGATAATTAACTATGTTTTAAAGTTTTTTTAAAATTAAATATTTAATAAAAATGTAAAAGTTAAAAAATTAAATGAAAAATATATTAAAATTCAAATTTATTTTTTAAGGAAAAAATTGAAGATTTAATTGATAAAAGTTGAATAAGTAGTGCTAGGCTAAAAATTATCATTACACAAAATAAATATCATATAAAATAGATATCAAAACATTAAGCATACTACTTGTAATTATGTATTAATTATTAACTTAAAAAATATTAATTTTTAATAATTTAATAAATAATATTAATCTACAAATCAATTATTTAGTAAATATCAATATATTAATTATTTAATTATTAACTGTTAAATGTATAAATGTTTGTTTATTAATTAATTAATTAATAAATGTATTTTAATTATTCAATGAATAAATATTAATATATTAATTGTTAAATGAATAAAAATGAATATATTAATGCTTTAACTAATAAAAAAAATGTCAAAGAATAAATATTAATGTATTAGTTATATAGGTAGAAAATATTGATCAATTATTCTATTGGAAAATTTTAATGTAGTATATTTTTAATTAATAAATATCAATACATGAATTCTTTAACTAATTAGTGATACTGTATTAATGATTTATTCCATTTTATTGTAAAATTAAAGATAATATTGAATAATTTGAATTCAATATAAAGAGTAAAATTGAATGTATATATTTAGGGGTAACCAAATATTTATGACATTTATTGCTATTAATTCAATTGGTTCCTAAATGCATCTTTAAATAGTGTTGCTAATTCATCATATCATACACAGCACAAGAAAATACAAAGAAAAAAGATCATTGAAGAATGGCTTCCAAGGTGATGAATCAAAGCATTTTCTTGGCCATCATATGCATTGCTTTCGTGTTTGCTTCAGGTAAAAACCCATGAGTTAAACATTGTTCCGTCAAAATATTCCGATTTTATGTTCGTGATGATGATGTTTTGATTGCAGGAGAAGCAACAAATGAAAGTAGTACGTTGTTCTGCTTCACCCCAGATAAGGGGCATTGTCCAGATATCAACGCCTGTAACCAGTATTGCTTAACTTTTCCTTTCCGTGGAGGTGCTGTGTGTAGAGAAAACAACGTATGTTGCTGCAAATCATAAGACTTTGTTGTTACTGTTCTTGCTCTTTCTTTAATAATAAATTAGCAATTCATTATATTTTATAATGTCTTATATGTGACTTTAGATTATATTTTAAGGATAACATTAAAGTTTTTTTAAATTTGGAGAACTAAAATTAAAATTACTCTAAAATGTTTAAACTATAAATAAAATTAAACCTAAAAATATTAGTCAAATTGAATGTGTGTAACACTTAATTATTTTTTAGGATATTATTATATAAGATAATTATATTCTTTATTATTTCATTACAAGAACATGTGTGTGATTACTAATAATTTCAAAAATTATTCAACCACGAACAACTCCAATTATCTAATATAATTATAAACAGTTATATATGATCGAGTGAGATAAATTATAATTATTTTCAAGAACATAAGGGTAGTCTATACGTGAAAATACTTCAATACTTAATCAATAAGAAATATATGTTTTTTCTGTAACTTTGAGTTAAAATTATATAATTTATAAATTTTGTAATACTCATTAAAAAAATATATTAATTCGAAAGAAAATAATAATTGAACTCTAGGTAAATGTTAATTTATATTACCAGCGTCCAATGGGATCAATAATGTCAAAGAATCGACTGAAAAATTAACTAATAAAAATATTATAAACGAATCCATCCACATAATCTCCATGCCTAATCTTATAATGAAATTTAAAATAAAAAATGGTGTATATATAATTATAGTGATATATTATTTTTTTTATACATATATATATATATATATATATATATATATATATATATATATATATGATAATTAATTATGTTAAAATTTGTAAAAACTAAATATTTTAAAAAAATAAATGTAAAAGATGTAAAGTTAAAAAAATAAAATTTAAAATATATTTAAATTCTTAAATTGTTTTTTATGAAATAGTTAGGAAGAAAAACTTGTTTTAAATTATGAAGAAAAAAACATTGAAGATTTAATTGATAAAAGTTGATTTGTAAAACATTGAAGATATATGGATTTGGTAATTATTTTAATATTTTAAAAAATAAAGTGTAATTGTATACATCTATATATTTTAAGGGTTCATATAATAATAAAATGCGAAATATGTTGGAGAATTTTCTCGAATGTTTGGTTTGGAAAATAATTTCATTAATATTATCGATAATATCATATATTTTTTTAATTAGCAGTGGATTACCTTGAAAAATACCATTGTTTGATTTAAAGGATAACTTAATAAAAAATAATAATCAACATCATCGATATTAATATATTTATTATTTAGTTGATAAATATTAACGGATTCGGTATTTAATTAATAAATATTAACCTTTTAGTTATTTGATTATAAAATATTAAAAAATGTAATTTTTAATAAAATAAAAATAAAAATAAAATATTAATTATTTATATAAATACTAATCAATTTATTATTTATTTAAAATTAATTAGTATATGATATATATTTAATTAGTTAATATTATTCTCTGCTGTATTTACTTAAAAAATATAATCTACTAAATTTATAAATTATAAATATTAATTGTTTAATTAATTATGTCCTAATTTTAATATATCAATTATTTTATTAAATTTAATTAATCAATCAAATATTCAATTAAAAATTATTATCATAGTACTTCTTCAGTTCACAAATATTATTGTACTAATTATGTAATTAAATATTGATCAATTAGTTATTTATTTAATAAATATTAATTTATTAATTATTTAGTCAATAAATTTTAATTAGTTTATTCTATTATAATGGAAAATATTTTATAATTTTAAAATCAGTAAATTTTATTGAATTAGTTATATATTTACTTTCATTGCAAAAATAAATCATTCCGATTTTAAATTTAAGGTAGCTCCAATTATTTTTTATAATATATTCATAAAAATTAAAGTGAGAAATGAAAAGTAAGAATAAAGTGACAGGAAAATAAAACATACTTATTTTAACCTTAATGAAATATATTATTATTATTATTATTATTATTATTATTATTATCCTTGGGTGTTGAGTTTTTCTGTCCTGCCTTTATCCCTGTTTCAATCTACCTTATTTTTAAAAAAATAATGATGTTTATAATAAATTAATTTTAATATCTTTTATGTATTTTTATATATAAATATTTATAATTTTATAATTTGTAATTATTATTAATTAAATATATATTTTAATTTATTATTATATTAAATATGTATATAAAATAAATATTTAATATTTTTTCTTTATATAGATATAAAATACTTTATTATTATATTTATTATTATTATAATAATAATAATGTATTGAAACTTTTAGTTACATGTATGTATAAGTTGATTCCTTTTTAAGTTGATATTTAAAAATATGAAATATATAGTTTATAAAAAATATTTGATAAGTTAATTCTTATTTAATTAGTTAAAAGTAATAAACATTTTAATTATCAATTATTTTTAATCCTTTAAAATATAATTGTTGAGGTAGGGGAGGAGACATTTATCAATATTTTTTTTTACTTATGGTGTAGAGTGAGGTGTCCCTAACCTCATTCTATTTATTTCTTTTATTTTAATTATCTTCAGTCTTACACTGGTCCTATTTTAATTATCTCCAGTTACGTACTAGTCATGCTTTATGTTTATTTATTCATCTTCAGTCTTGCATTGGTCTTGCTTCATGTTTATCTTCAATCCTACCGATCTTATTTATCTCCAGTTATGCATTGGTCATATTTATTAACTTATATTTATATTATTTAATTAATTTTTTTTATAATAATATTTATTTGTAAAAATTTGATTATATTGTAGATGGAGTTTAAACCGTAGGGATTGAAATGAGTAGTTATCATTGGGAACATAATTAAAATTGAGTTCATTTATCCTGACTAGACACTACAAATTTAATCAAATTATATTGTTTTTATACTAAAAATAAATATTAAAGTTAACAAGTTTTTTTTAAATTGATTGATTTATCAATGATATTTATTTTTTTATAATTTGACAATTTTATCTATTTAAGTTGATATTTTTATTTATATCAAATAATATCATCTCACAATTATATATAATTTTTTTATTTTTACCATTTGATTTTGTAATAATTTCTCAATATTACACAAAAAATTAATTTCTCTTTAATAATATTTATTTATTTAAATTTTCATTGTCTAATCTCAACTTACAATATATTATTCTTTATTTTTTTAAATAATATATAAATAAATAAATAAATTTAAATAAATATCAAGTAATTAGATTTAGGTTCCTTATTTCATTAACTATAAATGATACAATTTTACCGTTTTTTTTTTCTCATTCCTTTTTCTCTCCTTTTTCCAAGAAATCTATTTAGTTTCCTTATTATATAATACCTTGTTTTCTTTTCTTACCGTTAATTATCAACTATAAGTAATTTAAAAAATTATTTTATTAATTTTTATATATATATATATATATATATATATATATATATATATATATATATATATATATATATATATATATATATATATATGAACACAACAATTAGAACCAATACATTTTGACGTATGTGATAATCGGATAAAGCATAAAGCATATAGCAATCAGGTACAGTCATAAAATAAGTTGTAAAATAAATGGCAATGTGTTATTGTACATAATTCCTCAGTCCAAGCCAAAGGATTGTCATATATAGAAAACCTAATATGCTTGCTGACTCAAATGCCTAATTCAGCACCATAGTTCTCTAAAAGTGTGTTCATGTAGTTGAGCAACTACCTCCTTCTTTTTTCAGGATAGAATAAGTTTTGGATTTATCAAACCATCTTAAATTAGCTTTTTCTTTCCAGGATCTTAGCCACCACATCAAGATCTGCAAAAGAAACTTTAATACCATGTATTCATGGCTTCTTTTGTGCTTCTGTCGAAGTTGATGGTAAATTTATTCATGAAAAACTTACTCATTTTAAAACAATGTCAAATGGAAGCATTTAATTAATAACAAACAGGAAATTGTAATAGATAGAGTAAAAATCTAATTGATAATAATATGAAAGTTTAACATATAAAAGTAATAAATGCACAAAGTTGGAGACGATAATATTAGTTTATAACAATATACAAAAATAAGGTACACTTAGATCTTGTAATCCGTAAGTCATCACTACTACAAATACTTATATTGAAGCTGATACTCCAACCATTAAACTACTTAAATTTTTTATAGTAACTTACAAATAAATTATATATATATATATATATATATATATATACCGTGTAAATATATAAATATATAAATACAAAAATATTTTTATATTTTGATATATTTATATAATTATATATTTATATGTTGGATGTGAGGGCACGCTCGAAGGTGAAAGTGTGTGTCGAGTGAGTTTTTAAAATTTGATGCCAAATTTGTGAGCGGGTCTCTTTATATGGGTTTGTAATTTAATGACAGAATATAATATTTATAATTTATTTATATAATGATATAAAATAAATTTGGGAAACGCATCATTCGCTCAAACGAAAAATACTAATTTTCGCTCAAGTGAGGCTTGAGCGAGTGAATTTCCATGAGTTTTAAAGTATTTTCACTCAAGCGAGAGTCAATCTCACTTTCACCCTCGAACGCGCCCTCACATCCAACATATAAATATATAAATATATAACTATATATATATAAATATATCAAAATATATGAATATATTTGTATTTATATATTCTATATTTATATATTTACATGGATATATATTTATTTGTATATAAATATAATTTATTTGTAAATTATTATAAAAAAATTATAGTAGTTTAGTGGTTGGAGTATCAATTTTCAACTCTAAAATACTTGGATTTGAATCTTGTCAGTGACAATTCTCTAACTTAAGTGAAATTTTGACTAAAAAAATAAAAACACTTTCCGGAAAATATATATAAATAAATATATATTTACACGGATATATATTTATTTGTATATAAATATAATTTATTTGTAAGTTATTATTAGAAAATTATAGTAGTTTAGTGGTTGAAGTATCAACTCTCAACATTAAAATACTGGGTTCAAATCCTGTCACAATTCTCTAACTTAAATAAATTTTTGGCTGAAAAAAATAAAAACACTTTCCAGAAAATATATATAAATAAATATATATTTACACGGATATATATTTATTTGTATATAAATATAATTAATTTGTAAATTATTATCGAAAAATTACAGTAGTTTAGTGGTTGGAGTATTGACTTTCAACTCTAAAATATCGGGTTCGAATTCCGTCAGTGACAATTCTTTAACTTAAGAGAATTTTTGGGTGATGTCTTCCTCGGTAACTTGTATATCTCTTAAAATTTTAGTGAAAGAGTCCTCCTCTTCTCCTTCGAAATTTGAAAAATCCATTTGGGACCAGTAATCCAAATCTTCTTCTAAAAATTCAAGGTCTGTCAAACTGTCTAATGTGCTCTCAGAAGTAGGAATCTCATTTAAAAATGCCTTGTCGAAACTTTCTAGTAGAAAAGTATTATCTTCTGATGTCCTCTTACGTTTCTTTTCTATATCCCCTTTAGATGACTTGTCTGAATCTTGTCTCTTACTTGTTCGATCACCATCTGTCTCACTGGGAGAAATGTCACGGTTGTTTTCTTTATAAAACATTTGCTTTACAGGGTCAACCATAACCCTCTTGGTTGAAGTTACATTGTAAGAAGGAACAACTACCTCCTCATTACATGTTGCAATAGGGGAAATCTCATGAGGAGGTGATACATGTGTATTGTTGGGAAATGAATGAATTATGGGGTGTGTTCTTGAAACTGAATTAGTTGAATTTTGTGATACATTGAGTCCATTGTTCCGAACTAATGGATGAGCTGATATAGAAATTGATCCAAAATCTACTTTGTTGTTAGGAGAAAGTGGTGGCTTGGCGCTCAGACCTAAAAATGGGGTAAAGTAAATATATAATTGATGACATAATAAAAACTTACTTAAACAGCAACATAAACAATTGTACCTTTGATTTGATTTTTCTTCCTGGGTGGTCTACCACAAGATTTCTTTGTTACAATCGACCCATCTATTAATTATTTAATCAATACATATTAATTAATTTCTTATTAATGAATAAATATTATCAATAAATATTAATTGGCAGAATCAAAAGATTTATTATTATTTATGGATAGAGTGCTGGCATGTATCTTTAAATAGTGTTGCTAATGCATTGTATGAGAGCATAAGAAAAGAGAGAGAAGAAGATATTTGAAGAATGGGTTCTAAGATGAGTGGGCAAAGCATTTTGGTGGGAATACTATGCATTGCTTTGGTGTTGGTTTCAGGTAAGAAAAAGATATGGTTAATATGAATGAGTGTATATATATATATATATATATATATATATATATATATATATATATATATATATATATATATATATATATGATGATAATGAAATTAAGAATGCAATGAGATATGAAGGTTTTGTGTTGCAGGAGAAGCATCGATAAGAAGGGATGAAATTGGTTTGGTTTACTGCTCAGAGCCAGGTGAAGGGCAGTGTCCAGATATCACTCTCTGCACCCAATTTTGCCTCAGTCGCAACCTACACGGCGGTGGGGTGTGTAAGATTGAGCAATGTTGTTGCATAGGATAGATCTTTCTTCTAATTCATAGTAATAAAACTGTGCACCCAATTCAACACTCTAATGCAATTCACTATATTTCCTAGCATGTGTTGCATCAACATGTTACATATTTTTTTACCTAAAGACAAACCATATTACCACTATCAATTTTTAATATTTATTTATACTTAATTTTTCATCATCATTATACATAAAATCTTTATCAATAATTTTTGAGGAGATTAAATTGTTAATAAATAATAAATAAATATAAAAATGTAAAAGAATAAAAGATTAAAATTATATATATATATATATATATATATATAATAATTATTAAATTTGAGTATGAAAATCATAAATATTCATGAGTCCAAAATTTTGAGAGAAGAGTGACTATACCATATAGATATATGATATATCTATATGATATATGATGTTGTTAATGATTTTAATATTTCAAAAAGTAAAGTATGTTGTATAAATCATATTCTTTTTAAACGATGCATACCATAATAAAATGTTAAATATGTTCAAGCATTCTTTGTATGTGTTATAACAATTATGTCATCAATAATAATACCATATATTTTTAATTAGTAGTGGATTCTTTTAAAAAAAATTAGATTTTATCTTTAGAAGTTTAATTTTACTCGTTGGTACATGTATAAACATTTGATCATCTTGATGTTTATTTTAAGTCTTTTTATTTTTTTTTAAGTTTTAATGTTTTTGAGAGAAACTTCAAGAGAGAAGACACCAAAAGAATTTGAAGAACTATTTTTAGATTGATAAGTTATACAATAGAGGGTTAGGGCTATAAGAAAACATGGATAATATTTCATATATGCTTATAAGAATTTAGGTATAGAAAAACAACTTATAAACCTTAATAGGATTTTATTTTGTGGAATTTTATGATAATAAGATTTTAAATTTAATTTTAACAAATCATAAATTATTTATTGATTTGTATTGCTTTTAAAATCATATTTAATTAAATTGATTAGAATATAAAAAAACCCTTAACTCTCATCATGGAGTACTATTGATTTGTATTATTTTTATGATCAATTATAGTTCAATTATTAATTTATATTATTTTGTAACTCATGATATTAATTTTTTTAGTTAAAATAATGTTGTTAGGATTAGAATAAAAGTTTATGTTTTACTTATTTTAAGTATAATAAACAATTAAAAAGGATTTTAAAGTCATCATATAAATTGTAGATAATTATATTAGTTTTTAAATAAGATAAAAATCAATATCCTATGATTAATATGATTATAAATGTCACTTTTATATCGATCATATGTCATAAAAGTATAAGAGAAAGTGGATAAGATATTATCCAAGATTTAAGAGATATAACAATAATTTTTTATATTAAACCTTGTGTGTATATATGTATGAAGGTAAATATTAAGAAGTGTGATAATGAATTAAGTATATAAATGAGATATTATGCTATGAGTATTTATGTTTTACTTTAAAAAAAAATTGAGTTATAATAAGATGAATAATTGTGATGCATTTGAGAGTTACTTACGTATTTTGAGAAATTTAATTAATTACTTAATAAAGTAAAAATCCAAGTTATATCATTTGAGAAGTCTAAGTAGTGGTTAACAATGGTTTAACAGTATGAAAATACAAGTTTTGCTTGATCATTTGAAAAGTATAAGTTATGACTTAATGGTATGAAAATTCAAGTTTTGATTGTCATTTTAGACGAGTTATACATTTGCTTTTTTAGTAATGGATGTGATCTATGAAGAAATGTCTCTATGATTTTTACCTTGCCCTTGGAGATTCTAAAGTAGAGGATTTCTTGTGTGAGTAAGTTGAGGGTTAACCACAACTAATTATACTTTCTTAATTGACTTTTATTATACTTGTTTTAGTTGATAATGAATTAGAGTTAGGGAAAGAGAGTAGGATGAAGAACCAAGCTAGTTCATGCATGGAAAGAGTTCTTAGATGGTTTCTTGATGCAATTTTGATGTGTTTCTTCATTAATCAGAGGTATATGGCTAGGATAAGTCAAGACAAAGAGATGTTAGTGCTTCTTTGAGGTTTTCTTGATTCAAAAGGCAAGTGGAATGGTGCAGTTGAAAAAAGTCAACTTTGAAAATGAATAAGAAGAAAAAAGTCAGTTGAGATCCACTCAATCAAGGTTTTTCTAAAAGGAAAGGAGACTCACTCTCTTTACAAAAACTGTCCAATGTTTTGAATAAAGGTGACACTTAATTCCTTTTACAATAAGAAGGTTAACAAAGGAAATGTACTTCAAATATAAGGCCTAAACTAAATTAAACTACATTATTTAACTCAAATCAAAACTAAAATAAGTGTACGACTAAGTTAGATTACTTTCTATATTTTTGCAATTGTATGTTTTGTGAGTTTGATGGATGTATAATAATACTTACAAAATAGTGTGTAATTAAAAATAATAATAACATTTTAAAAAAATATGATCTAAATGTATGATATCATTAAAAAAAATGACTAAGATATTAAGCAAAACTTAAAAGTCCTTATCATGAAAAATTTATTACATAAATTTTGTTTAAAATTTATGGTTTATTATAACATTTTAAGACAATTATTTAAAATAAAAATATATCCTAAAAAATTATATTATTTAATTAAATTAATACATGAAACATAAGCCACAAATAAAATTATATTCTAAAAATTATGTTATCTTGGTTAAGTGATCTTAAGGCCTAGTTTTGTATACATACTTTTAGACGTGCTCATGGTACTTCACTCCATATTTGTGTAGTAATATCATACATGTGAAATATTTAAAAAATAAAATGTGGAAAATATTGTAATTGGGTGTACATTAACGGAGGGTTTACTTCACTAAGTAAAGAATATAACAATAATTTCTTTTTTTCTAAATCTTCTAAAAGAAAATACTCACTAAGGAGAATAAGATGGTAATAGAATTATATTGCACTTTTTGTATTGTGATTTCTTTTGTTAGTGAATTCTTCTTTTTATAGGCTTCAAAATGTGCCTATAGAATCGTTAGCCTTTATTATTCTCTGGAAACATTTCTTCAATAGTATGATATTCCTTTAATATTCTTCTACATAAAATCTTCGTATAGTATATTTGGATAATCTTCAATTGTATGGGTTAAATACTTTTTTTGTAAGTCTTTGCAACATATTGTATGTCTCCTTTTTTTTTATGTAAACATGATAGTTGAAAAAATTATTTTCTTCTATGTGTCTTGAACAAATTTGATATACTTGGTTATTTTTCATCTTATTTTGGAAAGTCTTAATATTATTTGTTGTGTTTTTGTTTGGTTCATGTTACAGTATATTTTCATTCTAGGATAATATTTTAATTTTGATCGTTACATATTTATTCTTCTATGTGATTCCCTTTATTTTTCACATTCTGATTTAATCAACATATAATAATATTTTTTTTATATTTCAAAATTTCACTTGATAACACATAATTATTTTACATATAAAACTCAGTTGGTTCGATATGGGATTATTAATTTATTTCTTGTAACACACTTAACACCCATGTTAAATACTCAAAAACTTAATCATATATTTTATCATCAAAATCACAAGTTCAACTTTTTCAATATCAAGTCCCCAAACAAACTCTCACTACCACCAGTCTAGTCACCTACATGGCCCCTTCCTCCCTGGAGATTGTTCCCTCTACTGGAATGTCGTCATCCCCCTTCTCTCATCTTATGCTCTCGTCGTCACCACTTGACCTTAAGTTATCGCAAGACTCGTCGTTGTGGGAATCAAAGATGGTCACCTCTCCTTCATGAAATGCAGTGACAGATCTTGAACAATAATGATCAATAAGTTTATTAAACTCAAAATCATAAATGTTGATGTAAGTTTTAAAATTTTAGGGGGGTCATAACCTCCCAAAAAGCTCCACCATTGATGACGTGACAACACCCACTAGCTCTCTTTTGTAGCAAGTCGGTGTTGATGGTCTCTCCTTTTATTCTGGCATAGATACAAATAAGAAGAAGATATATGAGAAGGTTGTTGTTGTTAGATTTTATTCTAATAATAGTTTATACTTAAAATGAAAATTTAAAGGAGAAGTGCTATGGAGAATACCTTAATGTAGTAATAATGGTTGGCTAAACAAAAAATAAATAGTGATGTGCATAGAGAATGACAAATTGGCAAACGGTGGCAAACAATGACTAATAGTGGTGAATTGTGAGATACCTAACTCAATCCTACAAAGTTGGCTCAATATGATGAAGGGGTGTGATGAAATCTCGTGTCATCTAGAGATACGATAACATTATAGTATATAGGTAGGTATAATCCTTACCATACTAAACCAATTTTGTAAGATTAAGTTATACATTTTATCATTTTTAATACAAACGATGGTGGCGTAAGGGTTTGTAGGTTGTAAGGTCTTTTTTTTATTATTATGTTTGCATTTCTTATACTAATGGTATATCTATATATAGAAAAATATAATCCATTCTTACCAATTTTATAAAATAAGATATTTATGAAAGTAATGAGGGAGAGATTGATGACAAAGTGAAACATGTCCCTACATTCCCAAAAGATGATTTTGATGATGATTCAAGCCAACAATATTCAAGACTCAAGCAAACTCAAGATAATTCCTGAAGACTAGATAGAGTCTTAGAATATTGGATATGGAGGTACAAGTTGATGAAGTAATATTATGCATAAGTCTCCAAAGCATATGTGTGATAAAATTTCGTAACATGATATTTTTCACTGTCATAATCAATTATGATGCATCAGAAATGGAAAAATAATTTTCTCTGTCATAATTGATTTTACTGGTAACATAATCAATTATGACAGTTCAAATTTGAAAAATATCCATTTTGAAAAATAAATATTTTTGAATACATCCTGATTTTTTTCCCTACGAAAGTATTAATGACCAACAACTATTTTAATATTATTTTCCTATTTAAATGAGTTTTGATGAAAAATAAAATACACACAATTATAGAATTCGAAAATACAATTTACATTCAATCAGCTTTTGAGAAAAGAACTCCGAGCAAGACAACATAGCACTTTTAGTTTTTCTAAGAAAACTTTTCTATACTATCTTCTACGCTTTCATTGTTAATCACACTGTGTTCTTCACTACAAGAAAATCTCTTATTTCCAACGGATTTTTACCAACGGATTTGTAGCTGTCGGAAAATTAGTTATTACCGATGGAAATTATCGACGGATATAAAGTATTTGTGGAAATTGGTCTTACTGACGGATATATCGGTCGGTAAATTAATAATTAGTTACCGACGGATATATCTGTTGGTAAATCCGTCGGTAAATTAATAATTAATTACCGACGTATATATCTATCAATAAATCCGTTGGTAAATTAACAATTAATTACCGACGGGTATATCTGTCTGTAAATCTGTCGGTAAAATTATATAATAATTACTTAATTTTAAATATATTCTAATAAATTAATTATTCACCTAATTAAACAATTAAATATTTTTTCTATTTAATAAATTAATTTAATCATAATTAGATTAAGTTATAATAATTTATTAAATTAAATAATTTTAAAAAGTAAATATTTAATTATATATAAATATCTAAATATATATAAATATATAAATATATATAAATATATAAATATATATAAATATATAAATATATTGTATTTATATATTTATTTGGATATACATTTATTTGTATATAAATATAATTTATTGTAAATTATAACTAAAAAATTTTGGTAGCTTAGTGGTTGGAGTATCAGCCTCCAACTCTAAGGTACTGGATTTGAATCCTAGAGGGGGTGTCTCTAGAAAAATGGGTTTTATAATAAATAATAAAAATATTTCCGACGGATTTTCTTATTTACCGACGAATTTTGTCCGTCGGTAATTTCGATTTTTCTTGTAGTGTCTTGGATGTTATCATTCTACATACTTCTACAATTTGTTGTCTCCATTTCTCAGGTGTGACTGTTCTTATTTTTATTACCTTCATCATTTGCGGATGACTGTTCTTATCTTACTCTTTCATCGTTCGTGGTTTTAAGAGGTTTAAGTTAATCAATTGTATTATTCATCCTTTGATTTATTCAGAGGAGATGTTCATCCCTAGTGTCATTCTAGGGAGGTATTCATCCTTTGTGTATTGGTGGCAAATGAGGTGTGTTCATCCTTTGATTTGTTCAGAGGAGGTGTTCATCGCTAGTGGGATTTTAGGGAGGTGTTTATCCTTAGTGGGTTTTTAAGGAGGGGATTGTCTTTTGAATTAATTAACTTTTTGCTGAGTTGATTGTAATTTGTGAACTGAATTTAAAAGACAGTGATTTTTGGTCACTCTTGTGTTAAAAGTTGACTCGGAACTGGATGTAGGGTAGGTTATGTCCGAACCAGTATAAATCATTTTGTGTTCTTCTCTTTCCCTTATGTCTTTCTCACTGCATTACTCTCCTTATACCTCTTATTTTTATCTCTATCTTTCTCTATCTTGTTGATATTTTATCTCTCTAATTATATCGCTTTCATTTTATCTTTGTTCAATTTGATAATTAAAATTGAATTAATAAATATTAAACATCTTAAAATAAATTTTTAATTTGACATCTAATTTAATTTTGGTTGTATTCATCTATGATTTTTCTAACAATTTAGATATTATAAATTAGTCATATGCTTAATTGATGTAAAATATGCAAAACACGTTCCCGTTATAAGATAAAAAATTGAACATCTTAAATATAAAACTAAATATTAAGAATGACAAGTAAATGATAAATCAACAAATCTAATTTAAATTGAATCTAATTAAGAATAAAAAAATAAAGAAATGTCTAAGTCTAACAGATCATGTGGAATCTCTAAGAGATAGGTATTAGCTGGATTGCATTGGATCCATGTATCGTAGCTAACTTTCTCAATTTGCATCATTTGCGCAATCCCCGCCACCCTAATTGTACTTCAAAATCAACATGTGAGTTTGAATAATATCACCACTAGATGGCCATTTTATTAAGACATGTTTCAAATTTACATCAAAAATTTGCTAATGAGATAAAGTTTTATGAATATTAGTTTTGTTGAAGTTAAAACCCAATATTAATTTTTTAAAGGTGTGGGGTTACACTATTTAGTCTTTGAGTAATGTAATCTTACATCATATAATATAATTTTATACATATAGTTTAAATTAACAACTAAGTTTTTCTTAATATTTTGTTTTAATTTATTTGATTAAGGCTTCCATCTAAATACTAACTTTAATTATTTATTTAAGTTCTTATTATTTAATATTATACGCATTCTTCCTTCTGAAACGAGTCTTCAATTATTATCTTCATGAACAACAACTTTTAAATATTTAAAACTTATAAATTACTACGTATATTATAACATTTTTTATATTATAGACAGAATCTAACAAGCTTAGATTATTCATATAATTATTGAATTCTAACTTTTAGTGTGGTATAAGATTCATTCATATAACTATTATATAGAACAAAATCAACCTCAAAAAAATTCGCAAAACCAATAATTTTTATATGACTAACATTTTACAAAATTCTCTTTTTTCAATTATTAGGAATTATTTAAAAATTTATATCCAGTAACATGAATATTACAATATGAATCAAAATTCAAAAAAAAAAACTCCATATGATAAAAATATTGGATTCAAAATGACCTTTTAATTAACTTAAAAATAATTAAATAAAAAAATATTTTTAAAATTATAGGAAAAATAAAGTTTATCAAATTAATCACCATAATATTTAATTTTCATTTCCAAACGAGAATTAATATTGTTTTGTTCTTATAAATTAACTTAAAAAATTTAGTTTATTAAATTTACCAAATAAAAAGAGTAAAGGAACATAAATTAAACTTCAACTTACTAATTTTTTTTATAAAATGCTAATGACTTTTTAAATTAATTAAATTATAATTTTTTATATTTAAGAAATAATTAACTAACATATAATTATTGATATATTATTAATTTTACGTATATAAAATTTAATATCTACTTTAATATATATTTCAAAAATATAAGTTTAGAATTCAGTTTCCCAAATTCTGATTTGTTTCAAACACTATTAAAATATTATTTATTTTTTGCACATTTTTTATAAATATTTATTTAAATTTTTAGGAAATTTATTTCTTGCTATTTTTATAAAAAAAATTGCAAAAATATATCCATGAAAATTTCTAGAAATGAAAAAACATGTCTACCAGTGTAAAATAAATTTGGAAGAGTTTGATTTTTGAAATTTTTTTTTTTACTATAGGAATTTTGGTAATGTGTTGAAAATCAAATTGGATGGGGTGGTTCATCTTATTCGATATTGGAAAGTGGTAAAAAAATCAATTTGTTAATTCAAAATAGCTAGATTTTAATTAAATTATAATAAATATAAAAAATTGGTAAAATCGATTGAATTTTTAGATTAAATAAAAAGAAATATAAATCAATTTTTTTAATATAATTTTCTAATAAAAGATATAATATATTTTAATTATTTTATTTTATATTAGTTACAATCAACTTTAATTAATAATTATTTTATTGTATTTCTATATTAATTTAATAATTATTTATCTTAATTTTTTAGTTTATTTTATAATTTTTAATATTTATGTAAATTATTATAAAAACAATAATAATTTTTATTTTTATTTTTTATAAAAAAACTAATATTATTAATAAATTTATTATATTATAAAAATATTATTTTATTAAATCTAATTTAATATTGAAATGTTATATTTATCAATGACCATAGGTT